TCCAGCAACTGACAGGTCCTCCAAAAACTGGAACACTTGTCAGTCATGCATCTGGTCGAGAGGATGGACATGAACATAGTTTTGTTAACATCCAAAATCAGAATGTTTCCATTTGGTCCAATGGGGTTGTGCCAGTTTCGCCACGCAAGTTAAGGTCTGGCGGCCGTGATCGTAAGCTTAAAGATAGACTGAGCCCTCTTGGACCAAATGGAAAAGTTGATTCTGTTGCTCATCAATCCACAGCTACAGAAGACAGCAGTAGTAAGGTTGATATGGAGAATGATATTCTTACTCCATGTGATTATCAAAGACCTACACAACATCTTCAGGTAGTTGATGAGCTACTTGAGAATGGTATGGTTGATGCTCTTCAGAGACCTGCTGAGAAACGAAGAATACATGGGAAAGGACCAACCGATGTATCAATTATTGAAAATGGGGAAGAGGTGGAGCAATTACGCCGCCTCAATTTTTCTAGAAGTCCCTTGGTAGCACCGCTTGGGATTCCCTACTGCACCACAAGTGTTGGTGGGGCCCGCAAAGCGTTGCCAGTGAATGGCACTAGTGATTTTGTTAGTTGTTGCGACAGTGGTAGGTTATCTAATACAGATACATTGAGAAGGCGCATGGAGCAGATTGCCACAGTACAGGGTGGTCTTGGAGGTGTTTCTATGGAATGTGCAAATACATTGAATAATATGTTAGATGTGTACATGAAAAGGTTGATCAGATCTTGTGTTAATTTAGTGGGAGCTAGGTCTGCAAATGAACATAGGAAGCCCCCTGTCTCGAAACAGCAGATTCAGGGGAAGGTCATTAATGGTGTCTGGCCAAATAATAATTTACATGTGCAGAGTGGGCTGGCAGAACCTGAGGCTGGACACGGACCACCACACTTGGTATCTTTGCATGATTTTAAAGTTGCTATGGAGCTAAATCCACAGCTACTTGGAGAGGATTGGCCGGTACAATTGGAGAAAATTTCTATGCGATCATTTGAGGAATGACATCTTTCGACATTGTTTTAAGCAAAGGTTGGCCCTGCTTCTTCTGGTTCTGATGGCTCAGTCACGGCTGGTGATCATTTCATTGGCACAGTAGTTCTGTTCCTATTGCCAGGATGAACCAGATGATCCCCCCAAATGGAGAAATCTAGTCCTTCGGGATCAAATACTAATTTCGATCTTCAAATCATCCTATCTCTGCTATTGTGCATTGCTAGCTAGGATGGTTCAGAGATTCACTTATCTGCAACCTCGGGTAATATCAAATGAAGCCCAGGATTGGTTGCGGTGTTGGTGTTGGCTGTGTTTGTCATTGGTAGAGATCTCAAGGATTTTGCTTGCTTTGCAGCCAATGACTAAGAAGACTCAGAAAGTTTTGCGGGAACACTTTTGCGTAGCTGGGATCAAGGAACTAAGACCATGTATAAGAACCAAACGGTTGCTCTGTATGTATTTTTAGAATATGAGGATTGATTGAAATTCAATATTAATAACAAGTCAATTAAAATTTCCTTTGATCATTTCAGTTTTACGCTTGAACACCATGACTCCAAATTTCAACATTACCTGCGGTAATTTTTGTTTTGAATTTTAATCATCATGTGGATCTATAGCTGATATACCCTGTAGTTTACTTCTAATTACTTTTGGTAAAAATAAATGAATTTCTAATCATATGTTAGACTTTCAAATTTTGACATCCATTTAATATCTTCATAGTCTTGTGTATGAATTATATTGAGTTATTTTATCTGTTTGAGATTTCAGTAGTTTTATGGCTTACGTATATGTTATCCGGAATTCTTTTACTAGTTTCAGAATTAAAAGCCTAAAGGACATTTAAATTTAAAGGTTAAATATGTTGTTGTCTTTAAATTTGAAAACAAATTTAGAATTAATCTTTGTTTCAAACTTTGATAACTTTAAATTGGATGGATATAATTCTCTTATTCAACTACAATAAATTTAAATTTGTTTAGGTATTAAATGACATTTTAGGCTGACATTTAATATAAATAGTGTCAATAGCTGAAGTGTCAACCAAAAAGTGTCATTTGACACAAAATTTAACATAGTTAGATTTGATTGACTATATTTATTCAATTTTCAAATATGAAGATAAAATTGTATCAAAATTTAAAATAAAAATAAATTTTACTTTTGTATTAAAGTTTAAGGATTAAAAACATATTTAATGATAAAAATAATAAAATGACTGGGGAAGCTTTTATATATATATATATATATATATATATATATATATATATATATATATTCATTTATATGGAATATTTTGTACTCACGTGTCCCCCATACTATATCATATAACTGAAGATATTTAGACCATGTTCCAGAGATCATTGTGATTGCTTAGTTAGCAAGTTACTTGTTAAAAGTCAGATAGATCGATACAGGTTACCTGCAAATGGCTTGTTGTGTATGCTGCTCATGGATGGACTGGGAGTACAGAATGATTATTAATATTTTGAATGTCTATCATTTTCTTATGTTAATTATGCAAAGAAATGATATGGTAACCAATCATCAGGTTCTTTCAGACAAAATCCCTATGTTTCTTTTTTTTTTTATTTTTAAACCATGATTTTCCTTTTGTCCTTGATTTTCTACAGTGATTGCGGCAAGCAACTGAAAAACGCAGAGATAATTCAGTTGTAATGTGTTCAGATCTACAGGTTGGTGGAAATGAAACTATCAACATGTTTGAGAGGTAGGATGCTAGAGCCATTGGATTTAACGTGTTTTGATATGAATATTGAAGTGGATTCAGCACTGAATGAATTAGATATGTTTATCTGTGATTGCTCACTGAAAAAGTTCTTGACACATATTTGGTTTATTTTCATGCCACTTTGTTTTCATGGTAGTATTTTCACCATAAATACCAACAAAATTTTGAAAGAAGAAAGTAGGATGATCTGAATTGGCTTTCTTTTGTAACTAAATAGAATAAATGAAACTATAAAGTGAACCAAATCCCCTCAACTTTTTTGGATCTTATATCAGGTAATGATCCTTCCTAGTCAACTTTTAACTGATGTTTTGTTTGCATTGTAACCCATCTGATAAATGGGCAACAAATTGCTTATCTGGGTTAAGATTTTACTTGGCTTTTACAATTCTTATTATATACATAAAATTTCTTTTGTATTTAAGAAAAGTCCAAAGGAAATATGAAACTGTTGTATGTTCTTGTATAGCAGTAGGAAAATTACAGAGAGTGACATGAACCAAATGTTTAATATTTATGCCTATTTTATATATACATGTGAATACTGACTCATCTCATATTGCTTGTTGTAACTTTCTGAAGTCTTGTGATTACCTTATGTGCTTTCTATCACCGTGACATTCTTCTGCATGAACATCAAAGTTTTGAAGGTTCTTATAAGTGGCGAGTGGAAGCTTTGAAGGCATATTCATGGTGGCTTTGCGGCAAATGGCATTGCACTCATACAGAGCAAATACCTGGGAAATTTTGCATACAATATGCGCCTGACTGATTTTTCCTAATCTTTTAAGTAGTGATTGAAAAGTGGATATTTGTCGTAAACCAAATTTGGAACTAGGGAATGTATTGAAAATCCATTGATTGCATGAATTGATTGAAATGTGCAAAGTCCTTGAAAAGTGGAAAAGAACACTGCTAAGAAGCAGCTGAATCCTGGTAAAAGTGATTATTGATTTTACTTGCAGATGTATATAACACTATCACCAAATAGATTTTCTCTCAACAACTCTTTTTTTTTTTCTTTTCATTTACTTAAAGAATCTAATTAAAAGTTGCACGGAAACTTTGAAAAAACATTAGAACAAAGTTTAGACAGTGAAAGATTTAGCAATCATTTTATAGTCACATTTTAGGTTATTGTAGGCTTTTTGGGAGATCGATGTTTATTATAATAATTATATTTTATTAAAAAAAAGTACATAATATTATAATGATGCTATAATTTATGTATCGATTTATTATCTCTAAAATTAAAATTAATTCCATTAATGTGCTTTAATTTTTATTCTTTAATTCAAATAAATATACATTTAATTATTTAGCTTTTCTATTTAAAATTATTATATATTTTCATTTTAGACCAAAACAAACATACCGTTTCGATGTAGGATTGAACTTAAGTAATGTTTCATAAATAGATGTTAGGACAATTTTTAATACATGAAATTATTTTATGATTGTTCCATTTCAAGACTAGAATAACGATACTATTTATTCTATGAAAAATGAGATCAAAAGAACATAGTAGAGTCATTCTATTATTTAGATTTTGATGCATAAATACAACAAAGAATTTCATACGCACTTTTATAATAATATATCATGGGAATATCTCGAACTTGTTAGTATATTTTATGTTCTTTAATTACAATTTAAAGTTACAACCCCTTTTAATCTCGTAACTACTTTGAATTAAAGATTTCCTAGCATAATATACTTTTACTTCTAACTGAATTATCAAACCAATTTTGCCGAATAAAAAACATACAAATTATGCTAAAAAAACAATAATGTGAAGTTTTATAAGAACAAAAAAGGGAGAAAACTCCACTCTCTTAACATGAGACCAAAAAGATGTTTAAGTAACTTTAAATAAAGAAGATTAAAAGAGAGAATTTTCATCCGCAACATATAAAGAAGTTTCAAAGTCCATCAACCGCAACATATAAATTATCTGCTTAGCTTATTAGTGTACGGATGAAGATATTGGCTATGTAAATATGATGAATAGGAAAAGGAGAGGAAATCTGAAACTGTATTTTGTACAAAATGAAAAGTAAAGGAACAATGCAATCAATGAGGTGAAGATGAATTATTAGACAGTGCAGCAGATAATTTACAAATAGGGCACCAGTTCTTCAGCCCCATCCATTCCTGTATACAATCCACATGAAACCTATGCTTGCATGGCAGGTCCCCAACTTCATCTCCAATAACATATTCCTCCTGCATATTAAGTAAATGTATCCAAATCAATAAAATGAAGAGTTCAATTTCCGTACATTGTATAATAATTTTTTATACTGTCAACTACTCAAAATTCATATTGCTAGAGTTAAAAATTGCACCAAACATCTATATGTTCATCTTGAGAAAATGAAACATAATTGTTAATGCTTATCCTCTCTCCCAGAAAGGAAGCTCTAAGGCTTTATAGTAGAAGCTATATGTAAAGGAAAATGCTATTGGTATGTCCAAAGTGGATAACTTTTGATTGTCCCCTTTGTTTTTTCATAAATATCTTTGAAAACTATGTATATGAAAAATATAAAAGGTGGGTGTCACCATAGTTGAGATGTCAAAGCTCGAAATGATGCCTAATATGACCTTATTTGGAAAAATATAGAAGGTAAGAGATGTAGATAAGCGTACACAGTTTAGGTCATTTGACATTCAAATAAAGGATTTGGTATGCAGGAATGACACATGTGATAATTTTAAGGTTTATGATGCTGAAAGCATTAGTGGATAGATTTTCCATTTATGGAAATGTTAGAGGAGACATGTCATAAATAATACATGACCAGAGTTAGTTCAAATTATTTAGTATTACTCTAAGTTTGATACTGAACATGACTAGCCCTTCATCAACAGACTGTTTAGTTCTGCTAGTAACAAAGAGATGCATTAAGACCATGATAATGAGTTGTTTTCCCTGTGAGCATCGAGATACATATTATAAAAATACCTGGCAAATGCAGCATTTGATGTCATCCTTATCTTCATTACAATTCTCATGTGTGTCATGTGTAGGTGGAGACTGATATATACTTCTTTTAAGAGATTCTGCAAGTGCTTCCTCTGATAGAGCTGTGCTCACAGTTCCCATCCTCTCTTCCAGGGCTAAGAGTTCCTGTCATCAATCAGAAACTTTTGGAGATAAGAATTGACAATTGACAAACTAAAAAGAATAAAACTTAGATATTTAATCCCAAGGGTGCTACATTTCCAACCTTCCACCTTAACACTCTACCTATAAACATCAATTAGACCAAGGTTTTAAGCACCAATATTACTTTTAGGAACAGGCATTATTCTTGTATAATTTTCATCCAAAACTGTTGTACCGTACAGCCAACAAAGCACAAACCATCGTTCTAAGTTTGATGCAACAAAAGGAAATAAGAAACTGATTTGAACCCCGTGACATTAAAATACCTCATAGGACATGTTATCAATATCCAACCGCATGTCTCTGTGGTGATCATAAAAGTTTAATCCATTCTCGTAGATGTCTGTCCCGAACATAAGAATTTGCTGCAAGGACAGAAGATGAAAGTTGTTAGTTAGGTAACTGGGCAGCTAAGTTGAGTTAACTTTTAGTCAAGAATTACCTCACGGGTTAGCTCTCCACCTTGTTCAATCCTCTCAAGGGCCAATACAACCTACATACAATAAAATACAGTACTTTATTTTTATGTTCTCTTATCATGGAATACTAAAATATGTGCTCACATGTTCAAACCAAAAAATTACCCCTTCAATACTGGACATATTGTAATGCCAAAAGTTGTCCCCATTTAGAGAATCAGTGATGTCATCTTCTGCCGGAGGAGACAGAGGTAAGTCCTCACTGCTATTGCCTGGTGAATGACAAGAGCTTGAGCAAGTTAATGGAGTCTCCACAGAAATCTGACATGAAATGCCATGAGGATTAACATCACCAGAATGTGGGAACTCACTGGTTGCCAAAGGGTTTTCATTTCCTTGGCTAGAAAGCCTTCCCCTGGCATGACCACTAAGTGATCTTTGAGTTCTTACTGGTGTCAAACTGGTATTCCGGTGAGAAAATGTATTTCTTGTTCTTCTTGAATCAGATATAGATATGCCATTTCTGGAGCCAGAATTACGTCCTTCCAGTGAAGATCCAATAATATTCTTCCCTCTGACAGTGGAACTACTTTCCCCTTCACCGTCTCTCTTTTTTATTGTATCCTTCCTTCTATTATGACTTGAATCTGATGATGAACAACCAGATGGGATGACATCAGATATAGTGTTGCATCTGATGTTCCTCAATCCATACCGGCTTGAAACAGCATGTGTCACTGGACCAGTGCTTTTGATTTCTTGTCCACGCAATCCAGATCTTTGATTTAAATTCCTTTGAGATCTAGTATTTGATACTGAACTGGAGCTTCCTACTTCCATCAGTCTCACATTACTAGACTCTGAACTTCCCCCCCTGGATTTAGGCCCTCTCTGAATTTCTTCTGATGGAGGGATGAGCTCTGAAGATTCTGGTTCATCCTGTACACTACTACTTTCAGGGGAATCTGCTTCAAACTGAGAGGATAATATTTTCCGTGGTTCCGTATTTCGTTTTGCCGGGTTACTAGTAGATCTAGAGGAACTTCCAATTTCTTCTTTGCTAGTTGAAGAGGACTGGAATAAAGGCCTCACAGATTTACCCTTTTCAGAAGATCTGACTTGAGCAACTTTGGGAATATTGGCTCTACTACTGCAACCTAATTTGCTGCAAACTTGCCCTGTTCGCTCTCTAGTATTAGCAGTATCTCTAAATACATGGGTCATCCCCTTTCTAGGGACTGCCACCCCATCCACACCTCTTCTACCAGAATACTCATCCATCAATTTCTTACTACTACCAAATCTGCAACAAGTGACATGACATAGTAGTTATCAAATAATTGAACACTAACAGGTCCAACAGACTAAAGAATATCATGAGGATGGACAAAGCAATAATAAAATAGTTTGAAAGAAAAACTTGAACAAAAGGCATTAAATCAGTGAACATAATAAAAGAAATGTCATTGTTAAATGTCCATAGAATGGATAAGGAACAGTTCTTTCGGGTAAATTGTAATAAACCCATCGCAGATAGTGTGTAAAAAATCCTTTGACTATTTCAAGAAAAGGGCCAATTGTTGCCTTATTCTATTTAGTTATAAGTCTATCCAAAATCCATGCCTGTTTCACCCTACTGGCATTCCCTTATAAAATATCTTGACCAAGATAAGCCAGTTAAGTAAGATTTTACATGCTCAATCAGACACTTGCTTTGGGAATTTGAACTATAACAAATCGCACTTAATGAATAATTCTTATAAAAATGATAGAAATCAGTCAAATTATAATATTTTTGGGGTGTTAAAACATGAGAAAAGCAAGTACAAGAGAATACATGCACTTATTCCACATGATTAAAACACTCTACACTCAAATGATCAACATTTAAGAAAATCAGCAACAAGAATTCGCCAAACAGTCAATACTTCTAGCAAGAAGCTATATTGAATTATTGAATCTCCCAAGCAGCCTGTTACAAACCATGAAAACATGTTCTAGAGCTTCAACCACAAACTTACAACGATATGTCTAGTTTGACTACAGGAAGAGTTACTGCAATGGTTTTGTACTAGTATCTACAACCATGATAGTGTGCTTATGTATCAATACAGGTTTTCTAATCACCAAAGAAAAAACACCAATTCTTTGTTTTATATAGAATACAAAAGACAGGGAGCTCCTTGTCTAAGTTCTCTCAGAGAATAGGATACTATTATATCTCAAATTGGTACTGTTAGATAAACACCTAAGAAGGAAACAGATTAAACATAATATAAAGGTTTTATTTCTTGCTTGGGTATTTTAGAAAATTAACAACAGGAAATAAGGTTAAAAGTATGATTAGTTTTGGTTCTACTAAAGAGTAGAACTGAGAACATAAAAGACAAACTTTGCTAGTTTTTTTGGTGTTATTCCTCTGTTGAACCTTCAAAATACACTAAAGTTGGTATATTAAACACTTTTTAATATATTTTAAAAGATCAAAATCAATGTCTGTATTTTGAAGACACAACACTAAAAACTCTGCAGAGAATCCAAATTCTACACAAAGATTGATTAGAAATCAAACCATACCCATATTAACACACGTTATTATCCTTATAGTCTGATAAAGCTATTCAATTAGGGTACTAGTACTCTCAAAGAACCCCAAAATCTGAATCATTAAAAATAATATTCAGCTAAAATATGAACAACTCAAAACAGGGAAAAGAAAAAGAGGAAACAATACATATTAGAAGATGATCAATAGGAAACGACATTAAGAAAATTGCAAAGTCACTTCATTTATCAATTGATCACAGAAGAATCAACTAACAAACTCAGTCTTCAGATGAAAATCCTCAACAACAACAATATTAGTTGTTTTGAGTTTTAATTGTAACTAAATGTAACTAAATCATCCATAATTTCATCCCCAAAAAGAGGGTGTCGCTTCATTCATAAAGAACACAGTTTCACCCAACCGCACAATAATCACCAGGAAATAAAATAAAAATAAAATAATTAAAAACAAAAATACCCACATTTCCCGTTATTTCAGCGCTCAAAATTAGCTCAACACAACAAACCAACAGTAAACCAAAAGAATAAAAAAATTATTTTTTCAAAAAAATAAAATAAAACAAACAAACCCTTTTCAAGAAAATTTCCAATTAATCGTTCAACAACAACAACGAAAAACAAAAGATGTTTTTTTAAAAAAAAAATGAATCAATTTCTGAGTATCTGGATGATCACCCCTACAAAAACGAAATCAAATAGTATATCCAGTTTCAATTCGGGTCCATAATGATTACCCGAATTTTTTCGTCCAAAGAGAAGAAAAGATTAAGGGAAAGGAAAGATGGGGTTGGAAAAAAAAAGGGAGAATTTTCAGGTGAATTCAATAGAAAATATTCACCTTTTTCTGCTGCTGCTGTTGGTTGTGCTGGTGGTGTTGGTGGTGTTGGTGGTGATGTTCTTCCTCTCTGGCCTTAAAAAAAATAGAGAAAAGAGTTTCAGAGTCTGAGAGAGAAAGAAAACATTTAGAGAGAAAGAAAGAGAGAGGGAAAAGTGCAAAACGTGTGTGAATGATCCAATGCTGAGGCAGACAACATTTCTTTAATCACTATCTTTTCCAAAGCTAACATAAAAGGCAGCAACTAAATATTTATATATATTTAAAATTAGATATTTATATTTATTAAATTAAAATTAAATATTTAAGAATAATAACGAGAATATTTAGGGAAGTTTTCAATCAGAGATGGATGAGCTCTTACTAACAACTACCTTAAAACCCAGATAGTTCTTTTATTGATTGATAATTTTAGAATTATCATTAAGTGTGAAAATATCTAATAAATTTTTTAACTCAATATTTAAAACAGACTGAAAAACAGGAAAGTTAGTTGCACCAATAGGAGTGAGTTTTTATTTATTTTTTATGTTGAATTTATTTTATATCTACGCTTCTGTTTTATAAATATTGAAAAACTTTTATAATTTAAAACATAATCAAGTAATTATTTTTTGCAATATATATAGATATATGAATGTGTTAAGATATTGCTAGTTTTTATATTGTTTTAGATATAAAATGACTAATAATTAGTTGATATATTTCAAGTAATTATTAAAATACTCATACTATTATCTAATCATCAACTATTTTTATAATAAATAATTTAAAAATAAATAGATAAAATTAAATAAAAAAGAAATGTTTGTTATAATATAGAAAATGTTTCTGATTTAATGATAAACCGCAACAAAATACGTTTGTTATTTTCATAATAATTACCTTAAAAATCACATCAATGGTTTTCATCAGTTAACAGAATACATCAATATATAGTGAAATAAAAAAATTATATTAAAAATAATTTTTAAAGAACATATGAATTTGAGAATGCTGCTAATTTTAGTAATATAGATTCCGTAAATGACAATTATAATGCACTTCATCATGTATTATCTGTTTTTATTATACGAATATCAGTATAATTTACTTTTACAATTTTAAATATTTTAAAATTAAACATAACATAAACAGATTTATTCACTCACGAAAAGATAAATTTATCTTGAAAGAAGCTCATCCACGAAGAAACGTGATTTTGGATTGGTGTAAAATGAATAACTAACGTGAGGTTCAACTTTAAGTCGTGTTTGTGGTGCGTGAAAACAAAACAAAAAACCATAAACAATTTAGCAAAGAAATTAAGGAATTTGAAAGGATATAAAATTTGCAATAATCAATTTCAAAAGAAAAAATATATTTTTTAATAAAAAAATTCATGCCAAATTCTATAGCTAAAAAATTAAACAAAATTCAATCACTTCATGATCAAGTGTGTTAAAAAAAACTATGTGATAAATTGTTCTAACAAAGAATATAACAAATTCTCACAATAATTAAACGATGAATAATTAATACTATAGTAAATTTTATATTTATATATATATATATATATTATAAATTAATTTTATCTTTAGTTAGTCAATGTAGAATTTTTTATCTGAAAAAATTAATAAAATTTTAAAATTGATGTAATTTGAGTAGAAGAACATCAACAAAAATCTAAAAAGAGTCTACAAATCAATGTAATTTACAAACATATAGTAGAAGAACATCATAAACAAAACCAAGAATTTGAACTCTCAGTATTAAGTTTATGTAATTGCATGACAATTGTGTTTAAAAAATTGATAATACCTTACTGTCGAATTGCGACGACGAAAAGATCGTTCCTTCCTTGATGAATTCATTCTGCTTAAACAATACAATAACAAATTATGTTTTTAATTTGTATATATATAGCAAAACAAAAGTTAGATTCTATCCTTTTTATAACCTTTTTATATAGTATAAACGAATATTTTAAATTTATAATAAGATAAAATTATCTTTTATTTTAATCAATATATAAAGAAAAGATCTTAAATATATTAACTATATTAAATATCTAGGTGATTATCTTAGTTCCTTAATATTTAGTTAAAACAAATAAATTTCTGTTTCGATATAAGAAGAGAAGATATATTGTAATATTAGAAAAGAAAATGTTATGGAACTTTTTTCATTATTCATATTTAACGTTTCAAATATTGGTTTTTAAGTTATTTGGTATTATTAATTTATTTTTTTATTCGGATCTATTATCTTAGAGTTAATTTACTCTTTTACTTATTTATTTTATTATACTTGTTTTTGTTAATATTTTTTTTTATCTTTCACTCTAATCTCTTACCGTTTATGATTTATAATTTACTTAGTTATTTAATAAAATTAAATTTTGAAAAAATATATTTTACTTTTACTTCTTAAAATAATACTATTTAAAAAAATAATATATATTTATTGATAATGTAAATTATTGCTATATATAATTTTTTTTTTCATATAATAACATTTGTCTTATAATATATATATATATATATATATATATATATATTATATAAATATGTTAATAAATAAATTTGACGAGTGTATTAATACACATTAGATGAGTGTGTTTATTCAGTAATTAGATGAATTTCGCAATACACATTAGATAAGTTTCTTCATATACTAATTAAATAAGTATAGCAAAAAGTATTAGACGAATCTATCAATATGTAACACCTGGAAAATTAATACAACTTTTATGTATAAGTCGTTACGGAAATATCTTAATTAATGAAATAAAGTTTATTTTCACTAATATTATGTGGTTAATATGGTAATAACTTGTTGTGATAGGTTAAAGGGCTCGTGTGCAAATCCTATATGTGGCATAAAATATTGATTGTTTATCTTATAAATGTGTAATATGTGTTATGAGCGAAAAAGAAATACCTCAAATGTTATTGGAGGGAGAGTGTAAGACATCGAGAGAGTTATTGTTCTGTGAGCGAGGTAGCGAACGAAGGAGTAAGAGAGTGAAATAGGCAAAAGACCAAATCGGGAGTGTCAAAAAAAGGAAACCAAATCAGGTATGGGGAGCAACATTGGAGTTTTGCTCATAAGCCTTGAAGAGCAAGAGAGATAGGTTCGAAACTACAATAGAGGATGACTCAAATCGCCTTGTTTTGGTGAACATGATTGGTGTAATGGAGTATGGAAGATGACATATGAATGCAAGATTGTTGATATTGGCACAAGTTGTTTTAGTTGACAAACCTATGTAGCAATTGTGGTTATAGGCATGATTCCTTCTTATGAAAAGTATGGCTTGCGATTAGATTGATCATTACAGTTTTAATTAGCTCATCCATATTTGTTTGTGTGGCGATGATAGTATGATGTTTGTGTTGTACGAGAGCATATGTAAATAGTTTATGTGTTGTGTAGACGTGCGAGAGATGGGACAAACTTTCAGCGAGGATTTTATAAAGTCTATTTTATTATTTCTTTAAAGAAGTTTTATTAAGTTATGTATTTGAGAACCTACACTTAGGAATGATTATGAATTCAGTAATTTGAATTGTGTTATTCAATTTCCAGATTTTAATTATGATTGTGAAAAAAATTAAGTTTTAAGGCGTTTTAGTGACTCTTTATAAACGAATTAGACAAGTATAACGAAAAATATTAGATGAGTCATTTCATTCATTCGAATTAGATGAGTCATAAATTAGACAATTTGATATTAAATGAGTTTATCTATACACATATTAGACGAGTCTTGCAACACATACGAATTTGTCCACGGATTAGACAAGTCTATTAATATATATTAGACATGTTTATTCATACACATTAGACGAGTCTATTAATACACATGAGACGACTTTATCCATTATCTGATTACACGAATCTTGCAATACACATTAAATAAGTCTATCCATACACAAGTCTAGTAATATACATTAAAATAAGTGTGTTCATATATTGATTAGACTAATCTAACAACACATATTTGACAAAGTTGTCGATGCACTAATTAAACGAGTATAATAATACACATTAAATCAATTTGTCCATACATTAATTTGTACTTTTAGAAAGTTTATTCTACATTTATGCATAGTCTATCATTTGTATTTTTAGGTAACCTATTCTATATTTTTGCATATGTATTTTCGCCTCGACTATTCTTTACATCTTTACATACATATTAACTTTCTAACCTATAAATCATTTTCCTATTGATTATATTCAAAAATTAATTATAAATTTAAAAATATTTATTATTTCTTTTTTAAACCTTTAAATATTTTTAATACAATATATATTTACGTACATAAAAAAACATATAAATAAACATTTTATGAATAAATATATGTTTAAAACTAGTAATTTTGAAAAGGAAATACGATTATTATATTTTTTGTCACACTATCCTAGAAAAATCAGTACCTAACCCTTAAATAAATTATAAGAATATTCAGTTGTAATCCTGTTGAGAATTATAGTGGAACTCTTTAAGAGGTCTTAGAGGAGACTAGGTCTTAAAGGAGATTGGACGTAGCTCAGTGGAGCAAACCAGTATAAAAATAACTATCTTTATTGCTTTATTCTTATTAAACGCTTCTCTTACAAATCCTGCAATTGCGCATTACGTTAACTGCTCCAAAGCTTTTTCACCAAACGGCTTTTCATTAAGAACTAGTTTTATCAAAACGCTGCAGCAAACTTATTTAAACAATTGAAAAATATTTGGTTGAAGAACTCATAGTTTGAACTGAATTTTTAAGTCGAGTGTTTAACAACTTATAAAAATCCTTTCAATCCTCAACCAAGTTGTTAAACTATCTCCTTTGTAAAAAGCTTTCCTATAACACTATTTAAACCCCACAACCCCCCCCCCTCCCCTCCCCCATATTTATAGTTGCGGTGGCTCTTCAATAATGACTTCTTTATCCATTAGATGTCAACAATGCATTCTTTAACGATGATATGCAATAAGAGATTTACATGGAGCAACCTCCTAGATTTGTTGCTCAGGGGGAGTCTTCTGGGTTGGTATTTCGTCTTCTATGTCCTTTTCGCAAATATTAATGATTTGGTACCCTATGCACATATTTCTTCTATTTGTAAAAAGTTTTCCTATAATACTTCAATTGGTTCTTCATCATTCAAGGAATGTGCTTTTATCCTTTGTTGGAATCAAATGAGGTGCTTTCATCCTTTGTCTCTTTTTAGATTAGCAACTGAATATAGGTTCTTT